AATCCATTGCATCCGTAAAGGATTAAAATTATAATTCTACAAAATACGAGTGAAAGCTTTCCAACTCGTCGCAAAAATCCTGATAAAACACCGCTAATCCCCGTCTCGAGTCCTCCTACTCCTCCTACCGCGACTTCCCTCCCCCGAAAGCCCGAGAGTTCTCCAGCTCGTCAACAGAATCGTCGTTATAGACGTGGTCAGGCATCCCCGGCGAAGGGCTTGAAAGGAAAAGTAGTTCTATGTCCGAGGGAGAAGTACAACCATGGGTCGGAAGGAGAGAAACCGTCCGCGGGTGAGAAAGAGGCAGAAAAACAGTGGGAGGCAGAGAAAGAGAGCTCGAGGGGGGAAAGGAAGTGAAAGTAAGAGAGGAGGGCTGCGTTGCTGGCGCATCGGAGATTTCGTGCTGTCGTTCCTCTTTCGTTCCTTCCTCCTTTTTCCGTCGCGAGGCAGCGGAGCCGATAATTTGTCGGGTTCGCCATTAACGAGCTGAGAAACCAGGAAGAGGCCTCGCGCGCAGAGAGGCAGGAAGACGCTCGGCTCTTGGGAAGGAAAGTGATTTTCTTCCAGAAGCACGCTGACCCCGAGACAACGATTCAGATCGGCGTTACGCAACCCCATCGACGGTCTTCCTCGCTTCCACGTCCCAGCGTCGACCCTGATGCGATTGCGAGCCGACTTACAGCGTAATCCGTTATCTAAATTATCGCCTATTCATCTTGGCGACGCAATCGATTCGACGTGTATTATGGATCCGAGTCAATCCGATACCATTGCGTGGGCATTACCTAACAATTTACTTGGGGGAGAAGTGGCCACTTGCAGAATTATACCGATATGAAAGGGTGATACGAAAGAGAAGTCTTTGCACTTGGAGTCATCTCGTTGCAGAATTGCATAAGGAGAACTTACGACGAGGAATCGTAATTTTCAGTCTAATTTCATCAGGTAGAGAGAGATCAACCCTCGACAGTATGTATATGTATATTTATTCTCATACTCCCGTAAGGGTTGCATGGCCTCCACTTACAACCTCATTACAAGATATTGCTTAATCTATCCTTATACTATCCTTATTCTATCCTTAATCTGTCTTTAGCTTAACAAACAAAAAAGAGAGAGGACGCAATGCGCTCCCGCTTCCCGAAAGGGTTCAGGGCCGAATCCCTGATAGTAAATATATTCTTGAAGAGACTAAATCAAACATCCACATATAGACTGGAGCAGACCCACTAGAACCCACCCCCCAAATCGAAAGACACAGAGTTGAGAGTACTCGTCCATCAAGAAACCAATAAATAACCTCTAACTATCCACCCCCTGGCCTCGAATCCCTGGACCCGATACTCGCAGTTCCAATCGAAGCTGACTTTCCGACCTCCAATGTGCGGCTCCTCGCCCTCGATTCGACCCAGCCTCTCCATCCCGCATCCCGGCGGGGCCAGCAGCGCGTGGGATAAATAGTTGCGTCCATCCGCGGCTGTTGCCGCTCGATCACTGAACGAGCCTCGAGCAGAGGCGGAGCAAGGAGAAGGACGAAGCCCGCGGAAGAATGAAAGAGGGAACGCACGCGGCTGGCGTGACCTCTCCGACGAGAGTAGCGGCCGCGGCGCAGTCTGCGTGGCTAGAAAAGGGTGAGAACGAGGGATAGATAGACGGGGACGCGGCTCGACAATGGTAGCGATGGTAGCGAGGTGGAACGAGGACGGATGAACCCAACGTGCTGAAGCGAGAGCCTGAAAACACAAAAATGGTGACGAGCGGGAGGGATCGAGGAAGGGAGGGTTGTTTCGCGCGTGTGGCGACGCTTTCGCGTGATCGACAGAGAAGGAGAGGACGTTGACGTCGGGTAACAACAACAACCAGAACGCACCGCTGATAAAGAACGAACGAACCGAGCGAACGAAGAGGACGAAGTGGAAAGAAGGAAGACGACGATGGCAAAGACGATAGAGACAGCGCGCCGTGGAACGAGCGCGAAGGGAACACGCGGAGAAAGAGGTGCAAGGATCGCTGCATAGGGCGGCCAGGGGCGCAAGGGGGGACGACGGAGTCGAGATGATGCAGTTGTGCGTTTGCAAGGAAGGCGGAAGGAGGAACCGCGGAGGGAACCGGTCCCGGTCACTGGGCCACCAGCCGGCCGTCGAACCCGCCACACTGCCCCCTACCACCCCCTGCCCCTCCGTTGCCTCGCGGTTCTCCCTCGCTCGTTCTCCAGCACGTTCGTACCTCGCGAACGCCATCTCCGTCGCGCTTCCCTCGCCTGACCGCCGCCCGCGGCCACCGCGGGCAACGCGTTCCCCACCTCGCGAGCCTTTCTCGCCACTTGGACTCTCCGCGACGACTTTGCTCGCTTCAAGTTCTTCAAACAATGTCAACTCGCGTGTAGCACCGCAACGCGCGACCGCGCCACGACCGATAATGCCACCGCCGTGCCACCGTGTTTACCGGCCTGGGGCTGTATGCTAGCCGAACCATGCTATTCCCGCCACGGACGACGTTTTAGCGCGGTCCTCGCCGAACGGCGCGGAACGATCGCACGGTTTAACGGTGAGAACGAACACGGGTCGGTGGTTGGACGGACGGTTCCGGGAGAGAACGTAGGAGAGAACGATCGGTTCATCGGGGAGCGTTAGAGGGGAGGGCGGAGGACTTTGTGAGCTGGCGAGCAGGTAGCGCAAACGGAAGCTTGACTCGTACACGGTAATTTCGCCAAGATACGCCAAACATTTTCTCTTAATTAAGAAAGGACGTGGCCGTAATTACGTTTCCCTTCCACGTTATTCTCCGCGCCGGTTTCAGGCTCGAGCGTTGCATTCGCTCGTCGGCGTCGTCAAAACAGAGGATTGGTTCGACGACTCGTTGGGAGACTTATAATTAACACTTCGGAATTGAAGATATCTTTTTGGCAGAACGAAGTGGCTAATTGAACGCCATTTCGGAAATATTTGGTGAGCCTGGAACGGTTGGTATTATAAAATAAATTTACACAGGAATTAATTTAAAAAAAATATCGTTATACATTGTGATATTTTATATAAAATTCATCCAAGCAAATTTTTACTTGGGAGTCAAGGTCATTCATTAATAACAATCGTTAAACAAGGTTCGAGTCCAGTCACGCGGATAAATTAATTTGCCTCCTCGACAGTTCCATGGTGAAACTGCAACTCGTAATTATTCATGCCTAGAACGCGACACCAACAACACTAACCTCCCATCCCACGATAAAAAATTGCAAAGCTCCGCGTAATAGCATATACGAAGTCCTCAGAAGTCGTTCTTCAGCAAAGGATTCATTCCGAGAATTCAACTTGATCCCGTGGCGAGCATACGTCGCCATTTCTCCGCGGCTATCGCTCGCGACAACGCTATCGGTCTGGCGAAGCGTTAATTTAGCAATCAGCCAGATAATATTACAATTCTGTCCGTCGAGTCGAGGCTTGTAGTCCTTGTCCCCTTATCAGGACTGGTCGATCGACTTCCTGATAGGGGGACGAGGGGGGACGCGGCACGACAATACCGCGGCGCGTTATCGCGAATGTCGCGCGCGTTTCGACGTTGGGCAAAGCGTTCGTTGCGGCTCTGTCATGCGTTTGATCGACAGTCTGGAAAGTTCGATGATTCCCGTGCCCGCCAACGGCTGCTTAGATTGCATTCCATAGATTGGCCGACGGGGGAACGCCGTATGCTTATTGGCATATGTCGCGGCGTGTCACGGTTCCAAAAGGAATGCGTATGATTTCTAATTTTTCAGCCGATCGCGTGCTTTTCCTAGCGGATCGCCCGTGAGAAGCGTACGACGCGATCAACTGTGGGAATATTGACGCTACTAAGGATCTATATAGAAGGATCTGCGCTCGAACGCGGCTAAAATGTCATCCGAACGCTGCTACATTTGTTGGATGTTGTAACGGTGCGTTGTTGCAACTTTGCGTTCTATTACCTTGGATGCGTAAAAGTATTGCTGTTGCCTGGTCGTAAGTGGGACGCTTTTGTCTGTGCAATTTAGAACTGGAGTGTGCTGTGTGCCAGGCGTTGCAGGTGTCATCTTTGCTTTAGTCTGTTTTGCTTACATTAGGTACGAAGAAATTGTTTGATGTACCTGTTTTACTTGTAGTTGATATAGAAGGAGGTTTGTACTGTTTTGCCTACAACAGGTATCTACCTTAACTACTGATGAGCCTACGTTTCCCACAGTGCAGCTGAAGACATCCTTGGTGGGTAAGAAAAGTAGTACAGATTCCTACCTTCAAAAGTATCACTCGAATAGCTTCAAAGCTCTAAGCTCCTTTTTATGCAGAGTATAAAATATTAACCGAAAGCCCAAATTATGAATCGGTAAAACAGGAAGACGATGGGTAACTCTGCTCTTGCTTGGTAACCAAAGTAGCAGAGATTCCTTCCTTCACAACTGACAGTAAACCAGCTAATACAGGAATCTCCTAATCTCTGGTAGAGCCAATCAAAAAGCACGCAATAATAAAATGGTAATCTTCATGCATAACTTATCCTCTACAGAATAACATCATTCTTCCGAGAAACATTTTTGTTGACATTTTTGATAACAATAAAACCCGTCAAAATCATTCTTAAGGTCGCTTTATTACCAAGCCATAGCCTCAAGAAACTATTTTCAACCGCACACGTTCTTCTGAACATTGGGTTTGCATATGGGCTCGACGACGGTCACTGGTTCGACGCCACAGGGCGGGCAACTCGGAGGCATAACGCAGGGTGGGCAAGGCGGGGCTTGATAACAGTTTGGTAAACAGCAGGGGTCGCACGGGGAACAGGGGACCTTGACCTCGCACGGGACAGGGCATGGCGGGCAAGGTTGACAGGGTTGCAAACACACTGGCTTGCAATCCACCTCGCAGACGTACTGCATTTCGAAGGGGAGGTCGTTCCTGACCGTCAGGCACTTGCCCTGAATGAGGTAGCAGTAGGACAGTGCCAGGACGGGATTCCCGCTGTAGGGTAGGTGGTGAGGCTTGGGCAGATGTCCGCATATGTCGATGTGCGTGTACTTTAAAGGGGAGCAGCTACAGGCGCCGTGCTGAAATCGATACGAGGGGGGTGAGAAAGGATGCTGGAGGGAGAAACGGAGAGGAAGGCCCGATAAACGAGGCTTTAAATGTCGTTGTAATGGAAAAGCTTTTTAATCTGCCATTAACGCCTCCTCGCGGTACTTGTGCTAAGCTGATCGTCTATAAAAAATTCATCGTTCTTTTATGGCGGAAAATATGTTGACCTGCGTGAAATGTTACAGAGGGTTGGGCGCTATGTATTAGGTTGGTAAGAAATTAATGTCTTACCAACCTAGTAATATGATTAGTGCGACTTCCTTTCGTGGGGTTCACGAGTTTCAAGGCTTTGAAGACTATCTTAGGTCAGAGATAGATTGGATCACTGACGGATGACACGTTTTGTCACCAGAAATGCCTAATCAGTAGGCAGGATTATTCTAACATGTAACTAGGGCCTCTCAGGGATGAAGAATGAAAGTTTTCAATCCGGAAGCTAGAACATAAATATCAAGTCCCTTCGATTCCTCGACGTGGCAGAGGATTTGGCCAGCATCGGAATTGGAGCACCTGTTGGCAGAGCAGGAACGTCGCCAGCGCTATCCGTAACTTCCAAGCGACGATTCCCAGGCATTTCCAATACGCGGCTAGTCATTATTTTTTTACTGGTGCCTTAACCCTCTGTAACCCAATTTATGTTCGACTACTGAAACAAATTCTATAACGGGACCATCGATGAATACCGATAACGGTATGCAAATTGAAAAATAAATTTTAGGAAGCACAACTTTCGATATGCGTCCAATCCAGTCGGAGACCTAGAACGAGGGTAACAAACGAGTTCGCGTACGTGGTCTAAGCCAGACGCCAGGATCAGAAACGCGGACGGGCCTTGATGGCCCCTTTCCGTCCCCGTGCACAGCTTGTCACGGTCTTGGATGACGTCGTCACCCTCTGTCAGACCTTCGTGGAACCGAAAGTCCTCCCTTCGTATCCTCGATATCTCGAAGGGATCGCCCATCGTCTCACCCGACGCCTGAAGCTTCTCCGCGTTGCTGACCAAACGCGCCACGGCGTTGTCCATGGCGATCTGAAAATATTACAAATTTCAAAACGGAGTTAACGATCCAAATGTGATATTGTTGCGACGGCACGAAGATGCTTCTTTGCTATCGAAGAACCGGCGACTATATTTGAACGATCAGAATAGCGAGAAGCTTCGAACAGTTCGGACGTATCGATATACTTCACCTTCTGTTGATAAAAGCTTCGAGTTGTTGTTTGTTTAATTATCCTGTTTTAAGTAATGAGTACCTCGCGAAGCACCACTACCCCGGCGCAACAATATTTATCAGTAATCATCGACCTTCCCTAACCAATCTTGACCCAAAGACCTGATCCTTCCAACCTACCGAGTATCCTCGACCAGCGGTGAGCACAGCGGCGGTAGTGAGCGTCGCGACGGTGAATATGTGGGGATTAACCGAGCACAATGCCATCTCTTTGATGTGACACAGCGCGTCCGCCATCGCCATTCGTCCCTCGGCGTCCGTATTCCCCACACGTACCCTCACTCCGGATTTCGCCGTGATCACTTCGTCGGAAACGTAAGAATTCTCGCCGATGCTGTTTCTCACCACGCACAAAGCCGCCACCGCTTTAACCGTCGGCGGTTGCAGTAAATTCACGACCTGCAAAAGACGTGATTTCACCCTTAGCCCGCCCGCGGACACGGGGACGATTAACCGCGACCCTCGACCGGGGGCGGCAAGCTTCGTCGCGAGTCCTACAGTCCATTTCTTTTCCGCTTTACACGCGGCTGGCGGCGAATGCTGTCCAGGGGACGCGCGGTTTTACTGCTCTGAATTACTGGCGTCACGCGGCGCTTCTGGCCGCGTACGAGCACTAACTGTGTTCATGGTGGTTTAACGGTAACTCTTGCTGCGCGATAAAACCATAACAGTTGGCGTTGGCGAGCAGCGGGAATCGTTTGCGAGGGAATACGGTGAATGGACTGCGGATGCCCGAGCAAATGCATGTCTTGGATGGGGAAAGGATGCGGTTGAGCAGGGTGTACGCAAAATGGGCAGGTATATTCGTTACAGGAATCGTTATCGTATGTAATCGTTGGCTTATTCAATGTCTTAATACGTAGACGTTTTCGTCGTTAATTTCATCGTACGTAGCCTTTGTTACTCATCACAGATGGTCATTGTTGGTTATTGGTCTTTATGCAGACATATTCGTAGTCACTCCTGTCGTACATAGTCACATTCATAGTCATCCTTGTCGTACATAGTCATATTCATAGTCATCTTTGTCATAGATAGTCATATTTATAGTCATCCTTGTCATGCATAGTCATATTCATTGTCACATTCATAGTCATCCTTATCATATATAGTCATATTCATAATCATATTCGTAGTCACCCGTGTCATGCATAGTCATATTCGATGTCATTCTTGTCATAGTCATGTTCATAGTCATATTCATAGTCATTTTTGTCATACACAATCGTATTCGTAGTCACCCTTGTCATACATAGTCACATTTAGTCATCATTGTCACAGATAGTCATACTCAGCGTACATGATCACATACGTGTAATCATCACATACATTCGTCACGTATATTGGAAAAACAGGTAAACATCTGCGTCGTGGGTTTACCAGTCGTACAAAAATGACATAGCTGGGGAATGAACGACGACGCATGGGATATTAAAGTACCTGCATGAATCCAGCGCACGCAGCCGCCCCACATTTGTCCCTCGACATGCCGAACATTGCGCCCTGGATTTTGAGGTCGACGCCGCCGGTGTCGTAGGTGACACCCTTTCCCACGAGCATGATCGTCTCCAAGACGCAGGCTGGATTAGGAGGCTCGTAGGTCAAGAAGATGATCCTCCCCGCGTGGCGGGGGATCATCGAGGCGGCGCGATTCACGCACGCGAACAGGGGATACTCCTGCAGCAGGGTGTCTTGATCGGACACCACCTGCATCGTCACGTTGGAGCCGCAGAACAATTCGGCGAGGTACTCTTCCACTCTTGGTGGCGCCATTCTTTCGGGATCTGCACCACCTATAGCAGAGATTATCGTGATTAGAGGGAGTGGAAGGTTTTGTTGCGAGTAAACGTCGAAAAACGGGGGCGTTGAGTTTCGGGGGAAAATTGAGCTTTGGATTTTGTAGGAAGTCGAGGTATTGTTGTACTTTAAATAGGACAAAGTGAGTTGTTGATTTTACGAAATCAACGATTATGGGTAGTACCGTGTTATCGTTGTACTACCAAACATAAAAAATTAAGTTAAAGTGCATCGAGTCGTCCTTACTCTAAAAGATACAATGTTATGATAATTGTACAGAAAATATTACCAGCCTCCGAGTAATATTTCAAATGAATATCTAAGTAAGAATTTCGCCCGTCTCTGTACGCTGTGCTATACATTCTGGTTTCCCAGTAAAATAAGAAAAATGATTACGTTCCAAGGCGAGATCTAACGAGGGGCGAGAATTTCCTTCAGATGTGAATTTACACGATCTCCAACAAACGCCGGCAAGGTGCCTTTCCCTGCGCCATGATTTTTCGTTTTAATTCTGTCGCATAAAGGAGTCTTCAGTATCGCATTAAAACTAATTAGAGACGTCGGTACATTCACGTGTGTTCTTGGGAACCGTCCACACATACAAAACAAAAATTGTCGAGAAACATAATCCCCCTTTATTCTGAAAGGAACATGTGTCTGACCACTGACGATCCTTCTCCCTTTAATATCGCGTTCCTCGCGAGCGAGCCGGTGGAAAGGATCAGTGTCGCAGCATTTCATGCTTTAATTATATTTAATGCTGTTTGGAATTAATAAAAACTTCAAAACGAGGTGCAATGGTAGTCGCTTAAACTCTTTGAAATTCTTGAATTTTAACTCAGATTACATTATTTCATTCATAGTTATTATGTTCTAAAGATTGAAAGACGACTCGTTATTGAAATTCAAAAGTAACTCATTCGACTACGAGTAAAAACTTATGTAACGATATATTAATTATGCAGAGCTTTGAATAATTACGAACGCTAATTAAATTTATGTGCGCGATCTGCAATGACCGAATTCGTTTGAAAACAAGAGATATTAATAATTTTTTTTTCTATTTTCATTCATGCCAAAAAGAGCTTTCTCTTTCTAACAAAGGCATTACTTTTCCACAATACCATCCGCATTGTTTACTCTATCGTCACAAAAAAAAATATTTCCCACATTGCAAAAGTATGCAAAACAAAGGATAAATAGTTGAAATGTATTGACTCTACCTTCTATACGGAATAAAGTCTCCGAAAGTGCTAGTTATTCAATTAGAAGAAAAAACGACTCCAACGTCCACCAGCTTTTTTTTTACAGATTCTTCCTTAGCGGTAGCAGACACGATTTATGCGGTAGAAAACCGGTCGGGGTAAAAAAAAAGCAGCGCGGAGCGTATCATGCGCATAAATCAAGAGACAGGTGTATTCGAAATTTGCGTCGAAGAACACTCGATCGTTCATTATTTCTCGTGTATTCCGCGCGGAATATTGCGGTCGCGTATTTCATAAACGGCGGGTAACGCATCGGTCGCGAAATAAGGAAATGCACGAGGACGGAGGAGGAAGAGGGGGGAGGGTGTAAAGGCGTCCCGACGCAACGTCGCGAGGGCGAATGCACACTGTACGCAACTTTTTCTCGCTTAATTAAACGCCCGAGATTCTTGAGGAAACATGCAACTGGGGCGAGCTGAAATTTACATTCCCCTACCCGCTTGGAACGCGCGGAAATGTCAAACCGTCCGGCCCCGTGGAAAAAGAATTCGGACGACGATTCCGCGGGGAATCGTCTGTCGAGGGATTATTCGAGACAAGGAATTCCACGGTGGTCGAGCTGGAACAAAAGCTATGCGAGAAATCTTTTTAAACGCCATTTTCTGAAAGGGAACGACCGCGGTGGACCAATTGGGGTCACTTCGCCGGAAGTTGCTCCGTGAATGTTGATTGTTTTCTGAAGAGTGGTAAGAATGTAGAAAGCATTCTCAGATTCGAATAATTGAGAATGTTTTATGATTATCATTCAATACAATAATTGTAGTCCTCTTTGTCAATACTATCATCATTATCGTCGTCTTCATATTTAGACGTTTGTACGTGTATACTGTGTCTCCATGCAATTTTGTTTCCGTAAATGCACTTTCACAAACAAACACACACACAAAATGTTTCGTCTAACGGGAAAGTTTCCGCGCGCGTCGAGGGCTGTTTCTTCGCCACTTACAGGATCGCCACCGCCCTCCCGGAAACTTTGCGTCCGAGTCGTGACAAATATGAACCCTGTAAAACATCCCCTTCCTCTCTACATTTCTGTCTGGCGAGCGTGCGGTTCGGTTTCCCGAGTTGCAAAACAAATCACTTTCCAGGGCAACGCTTCGAAGGAAACTTTCGAAGCGGTCGAATCTGGGAGGACCGTTTCACTGAAAGCCAGGCGTCCTCGTAGGTGTCGGAGCGTCGCGTTCGACCAGCTGCGAGTCGAAGGAAACCGCGAGATTTCGACACGTTTCGTGTCCTACTTCAGGGTTGAAAGATCCGCGAAACGAGAGCTCGGTGGCCACTCTTCGCTGATTCTGTTCAACAAAGCAACAAGAGTCTCGGCTTCGAGACGGGGACTCACCGATATCCCTAGCGACGTATCTTCCGCTCTCGAGAGCAGAGGCCAGCTTCACGATACCCTGGAGCTTCTTGCTGCAGATCGGACTCCAGACGGCCAACTGGCACGCCTTGTAACAACGGTCTGGGCAGATCTCTCGTACCTCCAGTGGCTGGACAGACGGAAACGCAGGATAAAATACGGGGAAGCGTTTGCATGTGACGGCGATATTAACCCTTTAACCGGCAACAACGTGTGAGACTCGTGGTACAAAATTTAAGTAGAACATGAACAACACAAGTCAGACACGTCGTGTGAAAGGGCGCAAGAAATTTTATACCTGATTATGGCATTCACGATCCTACAGTAAATCGTAGATCGAAGGGTGAACTATCATGTGAAATGGCAAAAATCATTTTTTGAGATGGGAATATAGGTTGTATGGGAATATACGAATATGCAAGGTGTCTTAGAATTAGTGTACGAACCGGAAGTAGGAGGTAGGTGAGACGATTCTGAACCATAATTTCCATTGTAAAAATGTCGGGTGGTGTTTCGTTTTTGAATTATTAACGAAAAACCACCAAGTGAAATGGCAAGAATTGCTTAGGAAAATAGAGCATGTTTCATAAAACGTGATGGTTTCGTAAAAGTTACGAATCAACCTACGTCTCGTTTTTCGCGTAGACGTGAAAGAGGAGTGCTCAGGACTGCGTGGACGTTTCATTGTACTCTCCCTATCAAATTGGAAGGAACAATCCGCCGCTTACAAAACCAGAAAAATCGATTCTACAAAGGGCACCGTGTCGCGGGTTAAATGTGAACATACGGCTGAACCTAACTCCTCCCAGAGAACAAGAGAGGAGTACGAAGGACATCGAGGAAGACACCAGTTCCGCTGGAATATTTCACGAGCCTGGGAGACTCAAATTTTCGCTGGTTTCTCCACGTATCGCGCACGTCCCGGGCAAGTCGAGTTCTCGACGCAGCTTCTTAGCGACTCTGTTCCACCGTACAGAAAATATTAAAGCGGATAATCCTCTTACTGGATCACCGGGAGATGTATGTTTCATTCGAGAGTCTTCACCGCGAATTAATCCCCTTAATAATTCACCCAGGCTTATCGCTGGTCTCTGTTTTTCCTTCTATTTTTCTCTTTCTGGATGAAGGCGCCGCAACAAGCGTTTCTTTCCTCGTACGTTTCTATCCTACTTGATGCTCATTTTTTTTCCACCGCAGTATGGGATTATCAAGGATGGCTCGTTCCTCGATTTCAGCGCATCTTCGGTATCCGTAGTGTCGTTGTCAGTGGTACTGTCAAAGCCTAGGAGTCTATCGCCTCTCAGACCTGAACCACGCTGGAAAGTCTCATCCGTGTGGACTCTTGTGTGATCCAGTGGACTCTGATTGCAACACTTAACCCTTTCATTGTTAAGTTTTCTTTTGTGTCATATTTTACTACTAGAGCTTACCACCCAAAAGTTTCTAAAGACAGAATGTAACCTTTACATTCCACCTCTGGTCTGTCAGTCTCAAGTGGAAGTCCTCGGTAATTCTTGGAAAGACCCTGCTCCTTTTATTCCTGGGGATTTCCCGTCCCCAGTTATCCCTCCGTCCGACGGTCGATTCACCTGAATGGCCGTTGCAGAGAAAATTGTGTTCCACTCTTTTTTCCTCCTCGAGGCTCCGGTCGCGTTGTTATCGAGACCGGCGCGTATTCGCCAACGTTTCGTTAAATGCTCGCCGAGACAGTGGCAACAGGAACGTCTGGGGCCGGGCTGTTGGTTACGTCGGCAATAATCGACGGTGATATTGGTTTCCCGAAGACCGCAGTGCTGCGGGTATTTCCAGTCGCGGAACGCCGCATTATTGCTGCGATTAACGAGCTTTATTCGTCCGACGATTGTTCGGCGAGATGATTTCGTGGAAATGTTGGACTCGGTTCGTCCCCCCTCACCCCCGGGATCTCATTGAACGTCAATTTGAACGATGACAGAACATGACTCACTATCCATCACGGAAATTTCACTAAATACTTCAGAAATCCTGATTTCCAGTTTCGTAGACCGTAAACATTCCCTCTCGTTCTCACCCCCTACATCGCGCAAGCTTCCCAAACGAAGAGGAATCTCGGGACGAAATTAAACCGAGCAAAAAGCACCCCGCTCCTCTCAAATGGCGAGACAAAAAGGTGTCGCTGATGTCTCTGTGTAGTGGGAGCCGTTCTTCGACGCGATGCCGGGCGATCATCGCGGGAAGAAAAGTGACGCGAAGAAAGCGAAGAGGACGGAAGCTCGCAGAGGACGAAGAGGCGACGATGACGACGGCGTTCCGATTACGCGGCGTCGGAATTCCGACGGCGTCTTCCGGTATTTGGAAAACGACGGCCCGCATTCGCCAGGTCCGCCAGAGGCGCGGGGTTCGAGCGACGTAGGAAGCGCGGCCGTAGAAGACGAAAGAAGGAACGAGCCTCGTCGTCTCAGACGCAGTGGATGCGGAGGGGAACGAGGGGGGCAGGGGCTCGAGTATTTCGCTAATTAGGTCGCCCCGCCGACCGTCAGGATTTAGGAACGCGAGGCATCCGCTACTCTTGCCAAGTCGAAACGCCCAGAAACCAGCCCCCCTCCCCGTCGTCCCCTCTCTCGCCCCGTGCTCACGATGCTGTTCATCGTGGAAGAGGCACGCGTGCTCCTTCCTTCCTTGCATCGGCGGGGCTTAAAGTTACAGCTTCCAAGCACGCGGGAGACGAGAGCTTCGTGTCGAAGATAAGGGATGAAAGTCCCGTGGAATGTTCCACAGACGGGGGATGCATCGGTAGGGTACGTTCGCTCGGTGGAGCTTATTGAGAAATCGCTGATATCCCGGAGGCACCTCGACGCTCACCATGGCAGGCATTTTGGTCCCGTTATTAGGTAAGACGAAATTAGAATTCGGGGCTCTTGGGTGGTGTCTTTACGAGGAAGATATTCGTCGCTGCCGCTGGGCCGGGGGTGTGCTTGTGGAAGCACGAGGGCGAGATTGCAAGCTCTCGTTGATTATTGATCTTGACGCTGGGTTAGAGTTGGCGTGAATTTAGAGGCAGTTTATTATTGCGTTGACAGGTGGGAGGAATGGTATGTCTGGATTAGGTCTGGTCAAGCCTGATCAGTTCAGGGCTAGATGCACGGGGCTGAGCCTGTAAGTTTTCCTTAGTTATCAATTTTGACATTGAGTTGGAGTCGGCGTGAATTTGGAGACAGTTTGTTATTGCGTGGGAGGAATGGTATGTCTGGGTTAGGTCTGGTCAAGTCTGGTCAAGAGTGGTCTAGCCTGGTCAGATCTGGGCTAGACGCAGGATTAACATTGCTTATCTTACAGATCTCCAATTTCAAAATATCTTTCGGTTGCAGTTTACATAAAAAAGATTCTTCAATCTCAACTGCCATCAACTCTGCAATTATGCATTCAACAGACATACGCAGTATACCATAGGGAACCGACATGTCTTCCCCTAGTGGATACGCAGAGACGGTTAAGGATGAATTAGTGGTTCCCTAGGAGACACTGCATCGCCCAACAGTTGACAGTACATCAATAGATGCCGCCTTAGCTGCAGCTATTACAAAGGCTAGATTAAATGCACTTACGAATGGACATCGAGCTAAACAAGAACCCTCGCTTCTCAGAAACTAACAAACCTCACCTCGGACTGCCATCAGAGGAACGGGAACACTTTACCAATCCATCCACGTCATCCATTCCCAAACCTCGTCCTGATACCATCGATGAAATATTGCGAAGCTACGATTGATCAGTGTTCGAGGACACTTCATCGGCATTATACAGCCCTGGCTAGACACTCTCAATCACAGTTTCCATCGCCTGGAGCCAGCTACGTCGACTTCTAATGGACCGTGTCCGAACGCAGCTGTGAAGACATCGATGAACAATGGCCAGCAGGAGTCGGCCGGGACTCTGGTCGTAAGACACACTTATCAATCAGTCGCAGGTCGCGCTGGCGTTGACAGGTGTTGTTTAATGGCTCTGTTGACCGCGCGTCCCGCCACTGATACCTGTCACGCGCCGCTGTTTACTCAAAATGTCGTCGAACCGGCCAGCGCGTGGGATTCCGTCGGCCTCAGCCGCGAAAACAATTGGAACAGAGGGATGGAGCGGTCCAACGAGGGAATCCATCATGGTGGGACGGAGTCAAGATTGATATTAAAACGACAGAACGACGTGGAACATCTGTTGACGCGCGAGAATGCGTTAAGGAGATGGCCACGAACTCCTCGCAGATGTTTTTTCGCGAGAAGCTCTGGAGGACACGTATCGACAAGTAGGCGGTTGAAACCCTAAAAATTGACAGAGTTAGAAGACTCAGATAAAATGCAGTATCAAAGAGAAGTGAATTTTAATTGTACTGTACAAAGTTCATTCGAAACACTTGCAGAGCAGGAGTAATTAAATATCAGGGGTGACCATGTCGATAATTGTTTATTATTTATCAACTCTCTATGCACTGATTGATTTTTATCGATAAAGTATTGAAAATTTACACACTGGATGGCAAAAGATTGTTGGTAACAAGGACGATTACAATGTTGATTTAAAATAAAAATATATTATAAAATATAAATATATAATAGACATTACTTTCTGGTCCCCCTAATATTTGAAGCTTCTATTATATTTTGTACTTGATTCCACATTTTCGATTCTTACTCATATCGAATATTTGCAAGTTTGTTAACTGAGGAATTTTCTGAAACTCTGGAACTCTCTATTCCATATGCTCAAATTATCCTATCATCTTAAACGCCTTGCTGGCCCTTTCGTAAACCACCTAAATTTTAATTACCCTTCCAGTCTTCGGCCTCTAACAATACTACCCAGAACGACTCTAGTATCTTTCCACAAATTGCTCGTGACGTTCCACCCCGTGGATAGCAGTAAAGCCAGAAATCGAGCTTTTTAGCGGGATTGGTTTCCATTTGGCAATTAACGTGGACCATCTAGGGGATAACGAAGTGTATCCGGAGTGTGCGCTTCGCGTCGGTTAGGGTCGCTCGTTTACCTTGAGACTAACGGAGAGCAGCTTGACCAAAAGTTTGCTAAGTATTACTATTTCATGTAATGAGGGTGACTCGAGAGCACACTGGCGTCATTAGTTATGGATTAAGACATCGTTGGTTGCTCAACTGAGCTCGATTTAGATTGTTTGAGCGGGGGAGAGTCGACCAGCCTATCAAACTTGCCACGAACAGAACAACGTGTCTGAATTCTTCAGGAAAATAGTTCTCGACTTCTCGTTTTCGATGTTACTGTTGCTGCTGTTGTTGTACATAGCTGTTATTGCAGTCATGTTTGCTATGCACTTTTCTGATGCGTACTACTGTATTATACTAATAACTATTGTATTCTAATTGTGGTAGCAGTGATTGCAGTTGCTATAGCTGTCGGTATACTATAAGTAGCAACCATCTCCCCATTCCTCTCCTCGTATAGTAGCAGTGATATCCGTTGCAGCTGTGGTTACCGTGTTTTGGTAGTAGTAGTTGACGCTGTTATTGCCATTGTATCGTAGTGATAGTAGTCGCTGTCTAGCCTGGTCTAGCACAGGCTGATGGTGCGTTCTGAACCCGGGTTGTCACTGTTTGATTGGTTTAAACGGCGCTTCTGCGACCGCAATTCGACCCACTATCTGGGAAACGCTTTAACCAGCTGTGTTGCCTACAATTGAGCGCCGCGCGTTTATCAGCGACGTTGACGTTCACTAATCTTCATCCGCTCTACTTTCCCTGGAGGGAATTCGATCTGTCGAATACCGAGGCCGACCACCCCTTCCCTTTGTTTTAAATTGTTGTCCATAACGGCCGGCGGGCAGGACTGCGAAGACAGGGCCCGCGCAGGCATTTATTTTATTAATTTTATCAATAATGACGGAATCTTTAAGTAATAAAATTTTAAAAATTTGAGATTATGAAATTTTGGGGTTCTGAGATTCTAAGGTTCTGAGATATTGAGGTTTTGAGATTTTGAGAGTCTGAGATATTGGGGTTTCGAAATTGTGGGATTCTGAGTGTTTGAGAGACCGAGATTCTGTGATTCTGAGATTCCGAGATTCTGAGATTTTGTGATCCTGAGAGTCTAAGATTCTGAGATTCCAAGATTCTGAGATTTTGGGATTTTGAGATTCTGAGAGTCTGAGATTCTGAGATTCCGAGATTCTGACATTCTGAGATTCTGAAATTCTGAAATTCTGAAATTTTGAAATTTTGAGATTCAGAAACTCTGGAATTCTGAGACTTTCAAACTTTGGAACTCTGGATCTCTGGATTTTTGAAACTTTGGAACTCTGAAATTCTGAAAATGTAATTATATCGCTCTATAAACGTAAGTTGGACACTCACCACATACAGACCCTCTAGAGCGCCGAGCAGCGTGACGAGTTCGACGTTCTCGAAGCGGATGTCCGGCAGAAGCGCGAACAGCGGACACCTGACGCCGGCTTTCAATGCTCTGTCGATAGAAATTCTTGGTCAACTGACATTGGCGCGTGGATGTCTATCGCGTCGCAGAGAAAAAAAATTCAACGACAGAAATCGAATCTCAGTACAAAAGAGTCGAATAAACCGAAAGACTGAAAATACCAACGGAAACCCGCGTCGTCCATTACGAATCCGAAAAAACTACAGTGCATCAATGTCCACGTCAGTGTCGACGTCAATTTCCCACGTGGAAACGAGAAAATTACGATCAATCTCAATACTCATCGATCCATGAACGAAATCAATCCCTGTCCTGGTACGAAAGCATCTGGCATTAGTATTCGAATTACCAAACCATCAATTATTCCCAGTGGAAAGGGGAAACATTGCAAGTTTACCTCACTTCGACAATTTTAATTGTTAACTCCTGGATGAAGAGAGCCACGAGGACATCGATCATCGTACAAAGTATTAAATAATAAATCTATAACATTTAGATAGACCAGTCTTCACTAAATCTGCTTTCCCCACTAAAACAGCAACTACTCATAAAATTAATTAGCAGAGTGACCAATCTTCGATCCACCAAACTCGAAGATTTCGCCAAACCTCAGACAATTGATGAGATATTACTACCGCGTTTCCTAACAGCCAGCAATCCACTGAACACTCATTTCCACGTAAAACATTCGCTATAAATAGAACAATATCCCATTCCGAACGGAAGTTACGAACTCCCTTCCCTCCCCAGACACACTGTCTTCCCCAAGATCCTTTATTCGATGGTTGGACGACCAACAATACCAGATGTCGCTCCACCCCGTCGCTCGGAGTCAAGAAACGGAATCAAAAGACGCAACCAATATTGGAGAGGAAGTGACGCGCAATGCGGAGCCGCGGGAAGTTATTCTTTCCTCTTCATTTCGCGACGGTATTGTGCCTGTCACGATCGCGAGTGTCGCAGACGTACGCGAACGAGGAATCCCCGTGTAAGATCACGACAGCTGGATCCCCTACATCGCGGAATTTCATTTTTCAACCTGAAATTCGTGCGAATGCGACACGCGACACGCGGGGAATTTTTGTTCTTTTGTACGCGCAACCGTGCTACCAAAAATATAGTACCCGATGAAATAGGTTTCGCGATTGAAATTAAATGTTCGTCGGGGAGAAAATAACTGAAATTATTCTAGTTGATTCGAGCAAATGATTCATTTTTGGGATAGTCTTAACCCTTTCGGATCTGAATTATTTTGTTTCTCGTACTAATCTAATTCAATTTTTAGGGTTAACTTTGACTAAAACTAGTATGGAAAAAATAGAAACAGAAATTATAACAGCGTCTTTTAGAACGAAAACTGGTCTTTCTTCGTGTGCACAAATAAGGACATGCGCCCTAAACGATAGTTCGTCGTGATAGTAAATTTTGTGTCTTCGATTGTGGACCCCACGTCTGAAAGGGTTGAAGAGTGCTTTGAAGTGCTCAAATTTGAACTAGGTCGTGTTTTGACTCCATTTTACAGGAACCTTACGATAACCTGCGTAGTATGTGTAACAATTCAAGGGAGAATACCTATTGCGATACATATTTGAGCCGTTCATTGCACAAATCGGTTAACTCCATCAAATAAAAAGTTGAGATGAAATGGCGATGAAATAAATTATTTACTATTCAATGGCCAAATAAAATATTGTAACGAAGTTAATCTTTATTATTCAAGAAAATTAAAATAAATACAAAAAGTTATGACTACACCACGCGCTTTAACCCTTAAATTGAAGAATTTTGAAAAATTGGAGTCGATCGATTCGTGAACGGCTCATTCGGACATCTTTTATTATAGTCTACCGACGAAGTGCCGTGAGTTTCGACGAATCCAGGCGGGATTTTCGCGAAAAAGAGCGATATTTCTCGGTCGAACTGGTGATTCGAGAACTCGCGCGACTCGTTAGACGTCGGTTTGTTGGTGAATTCAGTTATCAACCCCCTCGATGAGGTCGCGCGAAGGCGCCCTTTTACTGAAGGCAAACATTCGGGACGACGTTAACACGGCGAAGTTAACCGCGTTATCGAGCTGGTGAAATCTCCTTCGTTATTCGGCAAACAAGTAATCCGAGTTTCGCCTAATGACCCTGCGTTCTGATCCCCTCCAATTAAGCCGCCCAATTAACCCTTTGACTTAGGACGTGTATATTCGTCCACGAAAATTATACACAGACACGAAGAGTAGAACGAAGCACGCGGAAATCCATATTTTTCGAAATACTATATAAAACTTACGTTTGGTGCAGCATACCTTTGGACGCCCTTGGTGGCCGCTTCGGCGAAGCTTCTGACGTCGTGGTAATCCATGTTGAGCGGGCCAGTGGGACTGTAAATAAGCCTTTTGGCAGGAAGATTGATGGGCAAAACGGCTCCGATCACGCCCAGAGCGGAATCGATCTGAGCCGCTGCGTACAGGACCGTTTTGAAGGGTTCAGGCTCGTCGAAGCCGGGCGCACAGCCCGACACCAGGATTATGCCGTCGTAGTCGCAGCTGCAGATGTTCAGCTCGATTTTCAGCTGACATGGCATCCATCTGAAACGGTATACGCGGTAATCCTTTTCTGCGTCGAAATAATTATTCCGCGCGGATGTAAAGTTACCTGTAGCCTGATTAGGACAGGCGAACCGAAAAGAATCCCTAGAAACAAAGCATTCGATTTCTATTCTCTCCGGAGCTGATTATCAGAATTGAGGTCCATTCTAGAACCTTTGCAATCGATTTCAGTGATACTTCAAAGTTTGAATTGTTGTGCTTTGGTAAAAAGAATCTGGCCAAGAATTCGGTAGCTCAATCGATCGAAAGAGATTCGTAGCAGCAAAAGGAGTCGAGAAATTCGATCCTTAGAATTAGAGTGGAATAAGTGAAGTACAGTATCGATTCGACATCAAAGTAGAAGAGTAGCGAAGTTACGGCGCGGACAGTATTTCGTGGTTTCTTGTTTTTCAACAGGACATTGATGCAGAGACTAAAAGAGTGGATGTCGACGGAACGATCTACGTCGATGTTAAACCGATACCTTTTACCCAACTTTGACGAAGCGATACGAATCTCGCGAAACATAAATCCAATGTATTTCTCGAGTGGTCGGGGGAACAGTTCGCTAAGTGAGTGTTCGGCTGAAAGGATCTCCCAAAGATTTACCACGAAACACGCTTCGAGTCGCGCATTTCTTGCATCGCTTGGGAACTTCGGTAGTCGTCATCTCTGCTTCAGATATTTTAGCTACGAATCCTCCGTTCGTACTACTTTCTTGGAAAATTGTATACTCATTGAATCGTTGTTCGGTTAATTTTTTTTTTTTTGTTGGAGTATTTTTTGAATGCTTGTAGAGTTCAAGTAGGTACTAATCCTTTGGATACTCGAGGATTCTACTATTCGAATACTGGAATATTCGATTATTATTCTTATTACAACTCGTGTTGTAGCAACTCAAAAAATTTTAATTTTGAGGAAATGTACACAAATCTATGTACACGAATCTACTCGAATACTGGAATATTCGATTATTGTTTTTATGAAAACAAACAATGGAACATCTCAAAGAATATAAATTTTCAGAAAATGTACACAAATAATATAAACTACTAGATAGTTCGAACAATAATTGAATATTCAAGGAATCTACTACTCGAATACTGGAATATTCGATTACTATTTTTATGAAAACAAGCAATGTAACATCTCAAAAAATATAAATTATCAGAAAATGTACACAAATATAAGCTACTAGATAGTCGTTCGAATAATAATAAAATCCTCAAGTATTCGAATACCACGAGTATTCGGGTGCCCTCATATTATTCATCCAATCGAGTATTCGAGTAGCATTGAAAGAAATGGGAGAGAACTCCTTAACCGCATTTTGAAATATAAATTGGAGATTGTGTTGCCTGTCTGAACCACTCCCGAGGAAAATTCCGCGAGAATGGCTGGCTTTCTAAAAGAATTCTCGTTTATTTCCGCGGAACGAATCCCACGCGGCGTGGTTAGACGCGTCCATGACGACGTTGAAAGAAACTTTTCCTGGGACATTTTCGCGGGCCGCGGAACAGCCTCGCACTCAGGGGGCTCGCGGCATCCTTTTGTGCGACGTAAGTTTGCCAAGCGAATCGCTCCCGTGGGGCAGGGACATTAAATCGCACCTCGACTCGCTGCATTTGAAACATTTTTGTCTTTGTCGCCAATCACGAACGAGACTTTCCATCCTGGAACCGCTGGGAACGTTCGTCAACTGACACAAACTTCAACAATACATGGTGGACCATGAGAACTGAGTACCCATGGCGTCTGATTCCGATCACACATTTTTTGGTGGAAATTGTGAATGATTTCTGGGACGTTGAACCCGTTGAATTCTGTATTTCTCGAGGATATATAATATGCATTTGAATGTGAATTCAGTTGCATTTTTTTTTTTTCATAATGGAAGTAATGCATACACCAACTATTTCAATAATCGAACAATAATTACGTCCATCGATCCTAACGAAATATTTCGTCTTCCTTTAAAAACTAAGAAATACGTCAACCACTATTTTCGAGAACCTGACACACACTCGATCTCCTGTAACTCTGAAAGTGCCCACTTCGAAGCGCCATAGCAATCATTCGATAAAGTCGAGCCATTCTCGAAAATTTGCAAATAATTCCCTATCTCCATCTTCCTTGGACGTAACCCCTCGATCGCGGTCCCCGCACAATTTACCTCGACTCCACCGCCATGATGTGCCACACTGTGTCATGGACGTCGTTCCCGAGTACTCTTCTCTGCTTTCCAGAGATCAACCTTCAGCACCAACCGCGACGACGACGTGAGATCGAATCGCAGAAGTTCGATCGCGATATGAAAATCCTGGGGACCAGAGGGACGATCCTCGGCGTCGAGATGAGACACGGAAACCACGATCTCGAGATCTCGAAACGTGGCCACGAACCGTGGAAAACAGAACAGCGACGAATCGACGCTCGTCGCTCCATGCTTCAGACTGAAGTGATCGTTGCACTTGGATCCTCGGTTGCTCTTACTTTCCAGTTGACGGAAAGCCTCGCGATTGGCTCCTTTCAGAGGTCTCCTCGCCGACGGCTCTTTGGGTTATCAGATTACCTGATAGGAAGGCCTCGAATCGTGACTGCGGCGTCGGCGATCACTTATTCTATCTACGATCGCCTTTTAACGTAATATCGGTGGATTTAATTCGTTGCTTAGCTTAAATGTACAGGAAATGGAATGATCTTTTGGTTTATATTTGTGGAGGCTCTTCAGTTTCAGCTTGCGAAATTGTTATACAGGGTGAATTGTTACGGCGCGCGTGGACTAAATTATCGTGGACACAAGAAAGTCTTGCAGGAAAAAGTTAGAAGGTTCGAAGGGACCTGTCTTGTATAATCACTGCTTTTCTTGTGATCCAGATACTGAGGGCATACAAAGGCCACCGACATTTTTTTAAATGGAACAATGGTATTTTGTTTGGACATCATGAAAGCCGACGTTGAGACGAAACCATCGACCTATGGTACATAGTCATTCAAGGTTAAACCTTTTTTTTTTTTAATGCCACTGGCCTTGATGCAGCCTCAGCATCTGGACCACAAAAAAAAGCAACAGTCACATAAGATAGACCCCCTCGAACCTTCTAACTTTTTCCTGTAAGATTTTTTTTATATCCATGATAGTTTAGTCATTGCTCTGTAAGAGCTTAGCTGCTTCACCAGCTGTATATTATTTGACGTGTTAAAGACAACTAAACCTTGCGAGAAAATTATTTACTCGCCATCGAAGGTTGTCGTAAAAATAATGAATATATTTTCCTTCTTTAGTACAAGGAATAATGAATACATTCATTCCATCAGCCCAAATAAATATGCGCCACCCTTTTAAATGTCAATAGTAAAAAACGGAGTTACCTTAATTTATCTATCGTGTGTCCTAATAAATTTGTTCAGAAGTACATGGTTCTCCTATATCGAATTTTGGTATCGTCGCAGTGGACGATAACGCGATTAGTTTCGTGGATTCTGACAGATGGGCTGGTTTCCAGGAGCTCTTTGTCGATCTTCTGGTGAACCGCCTTGAATTCGAGCCCTCTATCGCGACACTAAATTTGCAAGTTGAAATTTATCGCTACCAACGTGCTCGATAGGTCTGCGGTGAGAAACTTTCCTGGCGAACTTCGACGATGGTTCCCGTTCCCGATTTAAAGCGCGCTAGATTGATTGCGAGTTCGTGGTCGGTCTCGCCTCTCTCGACCAATTTGACGCTGATTTTTAATCGATGCGGATTGAATGAAATTTAATGCCGGAAATTCGATCGAAGGGATCTCATAGTGACATACTGAGAGACGCGTATTGAATACAGTTGGTCGTTGAGGACAGGCGACAACGATATCTAATCTATCGATCGATAACTGGAATGTAATTACACACCGAGGTATTTAAATACTTAATCTCACGGTCGATAAGATTTGCCAGATCTTTCATCTAGAAATTCTCCTTTCTATTTCACTAAATTTTCTCGTTATCACCCAGAATATTTCTAACTTAATGGCATGTTCTCGTGATCGTTAACTGTCACTATACGTTCCGATATAATTTATGAACAAATTCTTATTTCACGAGTAACGTTTATAACTACCGTCGACGTTTATTCATAAATTCCTACGCACTAAACAAACACTATTTCCATACAAAACTGTATCTATGATAACCGACAGAGTAAACCACGTCATTATAATTCATGTTTTCTAAATAATAATGATGAAGCATTAACGAAACGATATTAACTACCGCCCGAAGCCATCGTCATAGCATTAGCAGTGGGAATTTGAACCAGGAGCGCAAAATTTGTGAAATTCACACAACGATTCTCTAATGAATTTAACAACAAATTATTACTGAATCGATGAAAATAAGAAGACGGAATTTCTCAACAGAACACTTATAAAACGTTATATATTTGTATGCAAAAAAGAACAAAATAAATATTCACAGTATTTCGTACAGATCCATACGCAATCTACGTCGTTAACGACCGCTACACGCTACCGTTATAAAAATAGTGCCTAGCTCTAGGAAGTACATATAAAACTTAATAATATCGTGAGAACGGAGCCCCCCTTCCCCCTCCCATCGTCGATGGCGGGGGCCGCACGCGAGACACACGCATACCGAAGCGAAACTTTGTTCCGCGTCATCGCGTTTCTCGCACTCGTTTAGCGAATCATTCATCGCGAGAAACTCTGACCTTAAGAATCTGAATTCGACGCATTAACATCCACTTGATTCCTCGCAACCTTATCACGATTCAATACTTTCATTACACGCTAACGCGGGGGCGGGTCGGGACACGGGGCTGCACGGAAGACTGCGTGCTTCACGTCGGGAATTCTATTACTTGAGACCTAAATCCAAATGTCAATTCCTTTCGTGTCGGATCCATCGAACGAAGAGGAAAGTATTTCTCCTGTAAAGAGAATCCCGTAGAACGTGACCCTTTGTCGAACGAAAGGGGTTGAATCAGTGTTGCAGAGATTTCATTGCTATAAATTATATTATCAGCGCAAATGTTTTGGTTATCAGAGCGAAGAAATCTAAGCGCTTCGTTCGGGCACATGTGACAACAACGTTCGCCAAGGTTCGAGCACATGTGCCAACGTTCGCCAAGTCACAAATTAATACAAATCACTTTCCGCTTAATTCTCTATCGTGTCTCCGGGGCGTGGAGATTATTTGGCACACGGTAATATTCTAAATTCCGGGGAAGCCACCGACCCTGTCCCCGACTTTGAACAATGAGTATTTCACGCGCGTGTACGTATAACGTACAGTGTCCGTATGGCAATATTTGCGAAAACAAAAATAAGGGCTTCGCAAACGTTAAAGGGAAGTTCCTTGAACTCGAAACTACGTTTTCTTAAGTGCTCCGCGTACGAAGTTCGTCGATCGAAGTGGCCGTCAGTCTCTTAGCCCAGACGAATAAAAGGACGTCAAAGGAAGAGGAAACGAGAGGGTGGGAAATCGTGTCAGCGGTAGTCGCAGCGCAGCGCGACGCCACCGTTGCGCGCGCCGATAAATGCCACCGTTTCTACTGCAAGGACCTGCAAAGAATGCATCTATCCAAGAAGAACTGTTTTCCTTTAATTTGAACGTGTTTTCGCAGGATGGTGGAGCATGGATCTCTGATAGGATACCTGGAACATTAGGTGTAGATACTTGATTAATTCATAGATGCGCGAACTCTACTTCGATGAAGGTAATTACACAATTTACATTTACGCAACTATTAATATACAGATACCACAACCTAAGGAACATTGAACTTCCATTATTAAAACTATGGAGTATCTACATCTAATATTCTACATATACCGACACCCCGCCACCCTACAAAACCAGATTGAAATCGGAGGGTAAATGTCAGGTTCTATCCTCGCGACTCCAATCCGCAATTTTCTATTTTCATAATAACAATACTATTAATTGGTGCCTAACTAAATTCTGAGCAAAATAAAATATGTTTCCGAGAAACGTTGATGTCACCAAATTCTAATCAGATGCAATTTCTTCGGATCCCCAGTATATTCTGCAGCTACCGCGATACGGAGACTCGGATAACTGATCGAGCCGAGCGAGCGTAGTCCTTAGGACGCATCCTTCTAGAAATCCACTTAACGCAATTACTCTCTTTAAGTATACGCGTATGTACAGGTTCTGACATCGTATGCACGTACACGTGTCAGCTCTTAAGCGACTCGACGGGCCCCGAGCCCCGTCTTTGTACTAGCGCCTACCCTGTAACATTCTGCTCGTAACGTGTCTAAGGATATACTCTAAACGAGTTAGGATGACCACGCGTGGATTCGCTTATCCTCGTGGGTCAAGATCTACGGAGCGATTCGACGGCAGCGACCGTCAAAGAGGGTGAAACGACGGTACGGGTTGTAAACATACTTGATGTCAGGTTTATGTAGCTTCAGATTAGAACCATATACAGTTAGTTTCATAAGTACTCTATGTCTATCGAAGAATTTGTGTAAAGTAAATTATAGGTTTGATGTTTCCAAATAAATGTTTCATTATAAATGAGTAAACTTTACGAATGTATATTCGTACCTTTCATGTCTATTGAAGAAGCTTGCGAATGACATCATCATCATCAACATATTTATACAAGCATACACTTGGAAACATCAAACCTACCATTCAATTTAAACAAATTTCTTCAATAGACATATAGGGTACGAATATTTATTGGGCCGACTGTGTGTATTTATAATGAAATATTTATTTGAAAATATGAAACCTATCATCTAATTTAGAGAAATTTCTTCTATCGACATAAAGGGTACTTGTGAGACTGACTTTATGTCCTTGTAGCTTCAGGTAAAAACCATGTAGCATCATGTGATGTCCAGAAGGCTCCAAATCAGATTCATATAATTTCAGGTTATGTCCACACAGCTTCAGATCAAATTCAACGGTACCTTCATCCCTGAAAACCGCCACACCCTTTCACACCCCGACCGCCGTCGACTGTCCTACTCTAAAAGTGTCTCAACTACCAGAAACTAAACCTAAGAAACGCCATCCTCCACAAGTCCTGGCCTCATCGCTCCCGTATCGCAGCTACTTAACAATGTTCATCGATCATCACAGCAGAGCCACAGAGGCGAACAATCCCTGAATCATCCCGAGTCACCATCGCGAACCTCACAGCCGTGTACCTTTGTTGACCTCGTTGGTCACGTCCAACGAGACGGCCTTAAGAGCATTGAGTTTCTCGATGTAACCGTTGTCGATGTGAAGCTTCCCATTATCATCCACGATCCCTTGGAGAGTGCCGTTCTTTTCCACCCCATTCGCGATCGAGGTCACAGAGGAGGAGGAGGTGGCGTTAGCCCCGTTGCGCTCGTTCCGCAACCTGGTGCTGCTCGCGTAGAGTCTCCGTCTTCCAGGGAAGTATCTCGACATCTTCACCGCAAGGGGATGGAGCAGGTGCTCCTCGTACATGTCCCCTTTGGGGTCGGCGGTGATCAGGCTGACTATTATGCCGACGATTACCGTGGACATGCTGCCTATCAGCGCATAGTACATGTAGGATATACTGTAGAGGAACTCTATGGGACCCATGGTGTCCATTGACTCGGTCAAGAGGCCCGTCCTGTTCACGGACACATTTACAGCACCGAAATCCATGTAACCTGGCTTCGTGATCCAGGGCGAGAACGTGTCGTTGCGACAGTTCTCGGTCGACAAAGGCAACGTTTCCACGGTGTTGGTCATCGTCAGATGCCCGAAAGTGATCCAAAGTGTGGTCACGTGGCTGAAGATCATCCCAGCAGCAGCGCCTTTCCAGTTGGCGCACGGTACCAGCATGGCCAATAGAAAGACGCCCAGCAGCGGGCCGGACGTCGCGGACGTCATCAACATCGACGACTCGATCACACCAGACAGCATCGCCACCAGAAAGCTGACGCCCACTATCAGCACGCCGTAGATAACGCTGATCAGCTTGATCACGTGCAGCTGCTGCTTATCTTTCAGATCCCTCAGCGAAGGCATCTGACCGAAAAAGTCCTCGAACGTAACCGTAGCCAGCGAGTTCAGGTTCGAGACCGCCAGGGTCAGCGCGCTGTTGAACAACGTGGCCATCACCAGACCCAGCAATCCAGGAATGTTCAGGAACTTGTCCTCCACGTAGAACGGTACGATCTCGTCGAACTTGGAGATGTAGCCGAGCGACAGGGGATCGCAGTCAGCGTAGTTGGCGAAGATCACCATTCCAACCACCCACGAGAGTGAGAAGAGGATGAAGATTATCGGCATGTTGGCCATCATTGTCCTGAAACAAACGTCGTAGTTAAAAATGGTTAAGGAATGTAAGTTAAGGGGTTAAGTGTACTTTCGAAGCGCTGTATAACTTTGGTGACATTCTCGATACACACTGAGATATTATTAACCCTTTGTTTTAAAACTTAATGATAAATTGTGGGCAGTGACATTGGCCGTTGGTTTCGAATCTCCGTACCCTATTTTTCGTAGAGTCTCCTGCATTAATAACTAATATAATATTAAAGAAAATGACATGAAAAAATTAATTTAGTTTCTTGACAAGTATACCAATAAGCATAGAAAGTTTGAATTTTATGTGTTTTATGGAAGTTTTCAGGAAGAAAATCTCAATCACTGCCCCTTGACTCTACACATGAGGACACGAGGGTCTATAAACGTCTTTTATTGTTCATCAATTAAACAAAATTGTACAATAACCGTCAATTTAATACTTTGTACACATATTTATACAAATGTAAGTAATCCATGTACACGTTCTTGAACATTAATGACTGTTCGTTCTCGAGTAACTAAATTAAAAACGATCTCCATAGGCGCAACCGTGTCAGCGAAATTTCCCTTTCGCGTGGTACCGATATAGAGCGATCAAATTGTCCCGTATTGCATCGCAAATATAATTAATTCATAACCACCGCGAATCGATATTTATTTTCGTGCAACAAATCAGGCGAGCTCCGGAGGTGAGTAGATTTTATCAACGGGAACCGTATGCCGTTCCTTATATAGTCGAGTGCTGATAGTGTTGACCTTACTCGGGTCCAAGAGTATCTACCGATAAGAGTTTGGCTGCGTGCCATTTAACCCCCGTTCCACCCCTATGCAGCGGGAAGGGACTCATTGAATATGTGGTAACGGGAAGTGCGGACAGAAGTTCGTGAACTGGAAACCTTTCCAAGGAATTCCTATATGGGACTATGTGATATAGACACGGCACAGATCGACGTCGTTTAGGCAAACGAATTACTCGAATAAACAAATCGAATCGGGATACTTTATCATCGATATTTTTTTTTTTTTTAATTTGTGTGCTTGTGAAATATTCGAAAATATTAGATGGAAATTGTAATTACTTTTTCCTTTGATTAATGATTATTTCAGTTCGCAGAATACACAAATAAGGCTAGTTTCAATTTGAAAATTGAACGAATCCCAATGTATCGACGGATGGGAAACTCTCTGTGACTGTTTGTTACCGGTGGGAAATTGTATCAGGAAACGCTTGGGCAATTTTTCAAAACCGCGCAATAAACTGACGGAACGGCGCGTTTCGCGATTATAGTCTAATAAAAATCCGTTCCACGGGACATTTTTATCGCGAGGAAACGCGGGGACATGCCGCGATTATATTCTAATAAAAATCCGTTCGTCCGAACGTTTGTACCGTGACAACGTGCGCCGCGACGTATTTCGCGATTTACACTCTAATAAACGTCCGCGCGGAAAAATTTCCGCGTGCCTCTGTGGCGTCGATATTTCACTCGAAAAGTTGGAATAAATTGTTTCTGATCGTTCGGCCGGTCGTTGCCTCTATCTTTCTCTGCTTTACTCTGTAAACTTGCGTATTTCATTCTAAAATTATATAACGAAGCGTCGACGAGACTGTTAAACATTTTTATACAGTAATTTCCGTTAACGAGTAATCCATGAAATTACAGGGCAGATATAGTAACTAAAAAATTTTGTTCGTAGTCTCTAAGACGCATATAAATATCGTGGAAGAAGAAAGTTCGTAATTTGTTTTCATTTCCTAGGAATTAATTGTCAAAGAAGAAGCTTCTGGAGCGATTCGATCGGTGAACTCGAGGAAAGTAATCGATGTGTTATCGAGAAAGTGCCATGCGGGGGACCAGGGCCGAACGGATAGGGGCCAATCGGAAATGAAATTAACGAGTCGATATGTGTTACGATTTGCATAATTCCGAGTGACTTGGTTATCATGTAACGTCACGCGACGCATGCCACCGGATCATAATAATAACCGATAAGATAACGTGCGGCAGGCAAAAATTCTTGCGCCTCGACAGCGTGACGATGACTCACTTCGAGAACTCCCCCGCGCACAGTTGACCTTTTAATTGAAACTCAGTCCAGACGACCACTTCAAGAGTCACGCGGGACAATTGACTCTTCTGCGTCGGAGGGCAAAGTGAATCAAAGAAGAAGCGCTTGGCAACGTTACTGTAGAACATTCTCGATAACCCACTTTGCCTATCGACGTGATTTCAACTTGCAAAACGATACATCGCACCCCTCTTACGCGTATCTCCCACGCTATCGATTAGAAAAAAGAAAAAGAATTGCAGGCACTTTTCAGATTAAAACTCGAGGGCACTTTGAGTTCAGGATAACACAAATAATTCGGTTAGTACTAGAATGAACTACGTGCAAAAATTCATGTCGCGTCTTTGGAAGCATTTTAATTAGTAGACGAAGTTTCAATTGAATATCTCGGGGACATTTTAAGAAAAAAATTCCAGAGTATTTAACTCGTGACTGTAGAAACTAATCTTCTCGGTATCGTTGTATTAATAAGTTGTTTACTATCAGAGTAAATTTCATTAAAAGAAAATCGCACAATATCTCTGCGGATACACCAAACAGTATACAAAATTTCAATTCGGTATATCGGATACTTTTCATCCCAAAGAAACTCGAAATATTGCTCGTTTCTCATAGGCAATTTCTCACGTAGAATGATCGGTAAATGCTAATTGTGGCGATCACCTGATCGCTCCAAAATATCGTCCAGTCTTGAGAGTAAACAGAGGAGTACGTTGCCCGTGGTTTTTGTTGGGCTATAAAGTTTTCCGAAACGGTGGTTTTCACGTGCGTGTTCCGGCGCTAATCTTTGCACGTCGTAACACGTCGGTTTATCTCCCCGCGATACTTGTTTACATATCTGACGCGTAAAATGCTAATGTTGTGCATGCTTCGAAGCCGTACAAGGGGGAAACCGTGGCTCTGGAAATTTCTGTATTCACGGCCTGGCCCCGAAAGCCGTGTAATTTCGGGACGAAATTGCGGATAGGACGGTGCAGATTTCGGATAAACGCCCTCACGGTTCCTCGAAGAGTTTTGCAATTTTACCGTTAATGTATATACCCAGTGTACGCGATAGTGCACTCTGAACGGAGGAAAGGAATGTTTATAGTCAGCACTGGCCGAGGAATTAATTTTGACAAGAATTGCGAGCAACGTTCAATTTAAATTAAATACGTCACTGTTTAGTCGTACTTATAAAAAACATAAGCGATTGCATATTACCGAGTAGTCATTTTTTATTTTATTTTATTTTATTTTATTCCACCCTCTTTGTCAATTATTTTGTCAAAATTTTTATGCGATAAACCTCCACTATTATTATGTCTTTTTTTTTTTTTTTTTTTTTTAATCCTGTCAGAGCTGATACTATTTCATCGTTTGGATAAAGACTTTATTTCCATTGGCGATATTTGAATAGCAAGTGAAATATTACGTTTCAGCCATTGAAAAATAAAACAAGTTTCACATGTTACAGGAAATATTCGCATAGAATGCGGAGAGTATGTTGAATAACGAAAAATACAGTTGGAACGGTTGCGAGGAACAGCTAATATGTATGATGCGCAAGCTAGGCTGTAAAATGCGGAGCAGAGTATTATTTACCTTTTGCACAAAAATATTTCATTTCTTTCGGTTTCCAATACTTTGCCCAACGCGTTATAAAACAAACATGCACACGTAATACACATTGGCTCATCCTTGTAAACATCCCAACTGCACTTTTGTTATTCGACGTACTGGTCCAATAATGCCCAAATATTTACTGCAGTATCCTATTTTACCTAGAAAAATATTATCGTTTGGCGATTTGAACAGGATATTTGGAAGAATTTCTTACTTGTATATTGGTTGCATTATCCTCGCGAGGGTATCAATGAATTGGTGGGGGTATCCCAAAGAAAATGAGTCCAAACGCGACCCCATTCGTGTGAATTCAAAGTATAGGTTGTTCAAAGACAGAAACAAAATTTTGACTAAAAATTTCCAATTTCACAAAAATGGAAAGTAGTCCGAGTTACATGGTGTTTGGACTCATTTTCATCGAGTAAACCTCACCAGTTTATTGGTAACGCTTCCACTTGGATGGTATACCAATAATAAAAACATTAATTATCACCAGAAAATTTGGATTCTCTGTTTGCCTTCGCGTGTCAAATGATCCCTCATGAAGTGTTTACTATTACCAAATTCCACTTATTCCATGTTAATTACTTCATACGTTTCCACAAAAGAAATGTCTACTTACTTGACAACTTTGCGCTGACTGGTCATGCTGCAGTATCTCTGCACGAAGTTCTGCTGGCACCCAAAGATGGACAAGCTCATGAACAGCTGGCCTAACGTCGCCGATAAGGTCGTCACTCGCAACGTAGGATCCAGATTCATGCTGAAAGTAAAACGTTCCCGGCAATTAGTAGCGAAAATACTCGGATAAATCCTCTCTCGCGGGTTCACGTGAACGGTCGACCTAAGACGCCCCGATACAGAAGGCTCTACGAAGAGAATGGCCGCAATCGTTTTAGCCATTCACGAAGTTTCGGAGTAAATGTAGACCGAGGCTAATCCGCCAGGTACCCTATTCATTTCCGTGCCGTAAATCGGGGTTACTTTGTTCCTCCTCCTTTGTTCCCTCGTACGAATGGTGTTTTGAACTGGAACGACGTGATGAATGTCGGGTAATTTTATTACCGGTCTTAGCGACAACTGCCGCTCGGTTTTCCGTACCTAAATGACGGAACGACAGGGAGGAACCCACCTCTACTCCACTACGAGTGCAAAGTCACCCCCGTTCACTGCACGAAATTCATACATTCAAACTCGGCTTAATTTTCCCTCATCCCCTGGCACTGCATAATTGAGTACGAGCAAAAGATAACGAAGCATATATTTCTACACGATTACCGTCACGTGCATTGTTTAAATAATTTTCCAGAAGGTCTTGCTTATCAATTTTGTTTTTTTTTTTTTTATTTTAAGGTAGAAACCTATTATTTCATTTCATAATCTTATAGTTCAAGAATCAATTATTACTTAGTTTTTTCCGTATAATGCCTTTACATAAGAAAGGTAGTTCTCGAACCTCAAGTTCAGAAAGACGATTTGTATGTTTGTACACTTACTCGAAGAAGTCCAGTCGACCACGCTCGTGCGTCACATTCACGACTTTATCGGGGCCGATTTCAATTGCGCCATGAATGATTATCACGCACGAAACACCGATCATCGTCAGGCCTTGAATAACGTCTGAGAGGATGGCTGCTTTCAGTCCTCCCTGAAAACCAAAAGTGTTAATTTTCTTCTTTTAAACAAGGAACTATTTTATAATATCTATTATATTTCTTTGAGCACGTGACCCAAACGACTTAAATTTCTTTGATCTTTTATTTTCTAATGAAATTAAAATAATTCATAGATAACGTTCTAGTTCAAAAATAATTTTTACGCTCTCAAGACTGCATCATGTTACGCAATACAATTTCATCGAAGGAAAAAATCTGTCCGACGTAGTCTACAGTGCACCTGAAACGGATCATTTTCAGTTAATGGGACAAAATCAGCTGAAAGTGGTCGAACTCGATCCTAATTCGATTAACAAGATTGATAACCGCTCTCGATGACGCACGCGAGCGCCGATTTGACGTCGAATTAAAATGTGACCTCGCGACGATGCGTGCGAATTAACGGCGTCGCTTTCAAGTTACGTGTTCTTTCCGCGCCGCGAGAAACTTTACGCGCGTGTCGTATTTACGAACCTTTCCACCGGAAATGCCCAACGAACGCTGCGTCTCTCCTCAATTTTTGAATAATTGATGCCTCGTAAATGTGGCGCGAACGGTTTCAAAGTTTCATGGTCGTGCACTTTAATATTTAATAATGATAAACTCTGTAAACTTGTATTCTATACAAGTTTCAGGAAAGAGAGAGGGAATATTAGAATATCAGTTTGACTCTAAAATTATATTTCATGTTATTATATTAAAATTATATTTCATTATATTTCATGAATGAATAGTCTTATTCGTGACCCACAATGTATACATAAATCCTTCGATCAAAAATGAATCAAAAAGTACTGAACCATTTTGGATGATGAGTCTTCATTCGGGAGATATGATTAATTGAAATGAATTGCTGTGGCTCATGGGTTCGCGCCATTTCCCCAGTCAGCTGATCACGTGGCGCACGTGCGCGCATTCCGTGCTCGTGACAGACACACGCGAAAACTTTAACTGCTCGTATTTTGTAAACGAGTCTTCAGATTCGAAAATGGTACAAGACTTTTCGGTTGCTTTTTGAGCCAGAAAAGTATATGTTTGGGTTGTCCCATTTTTTTGAAACATTAAATGTTCTTATCTCTTTCCACATTTTTCATTATCGATGCCCCTTATCAGAAATAATCGCCGATATGCATTTGCCCAATGAAACTTTCTAAAAATTAATTTCCACGTCCAGTTTCTCGCCGCTCGAGTTCTCCAACCACCCAACCCTATCTAAACTCGTCGCGTTAAGGAATTGGAGACTCCTCGAGTCTCCGTGTGTCCCATAGAATCAAAAGAATAGATTTTCCGTCGCCTCGGCGAAATTTTACTGAAGTTGGCCGGAGTGTCGGCATCAGCAACGCTCAGGAAAAAGTTTCCAGGGGAAGATGATTCGATTTTCTCGAAGGCGCGGGTACGCTCGCGAGGGACACGCGCAAAGTGTTTCTGTTCGATGTCGTACATACCATGATGGAGAAGATGACGGATATCGTCGTGATCCCGATGATGCTGGCCCAGTATGGCAGCCCGATCACCGCCTTCAGAGCGACGCATGGCGTGAATATCGTTACCGCCAAGTTCAGCAGGCTGCGTATCACGTAGGAGAAGCTCGCGAGACATCTGACTAGCTTCGACTTGAACCTGCGGGATTAGCATAATTGCAAGATGTCTCCGGACATAATCGTTAAGCGCTAAGACGGTCTCAAGGATCGCGCGCAATCGAACCATGCTGGTCAATCTTCCACGACGTATTATTTATTTTTATTTTATGAAAATTGAATTTATTCGAACACTTCAGAGTGATACATTCTGATTTCTGTGGTAGATTGAAACAATACAAAATTAATAACAACGGCATTTTAAGAACAATTTAATATTGTTGGTTATTTTACTTACATATCTTTCTTCAAAAGTACAGTAATTAGTTAAATTTGAATAAGGAATATTTATTACGAGTAGCTCTTAAAAGTGGCTGATTATAGATATTTTAACTTATACAATAGAGCTACAGATAAATACAGTTGAACTGTCGTGGTAAGTAAAGTTTTACAGAACTAGAGTTAGTAATAGTAAGTAAGAATAAATACAGATATACCGAGCACCTACTTCATTAATTAATCCAATATTTCGAATTTCATAAGAACTAATTTCCCTCGAGTAGTTGATACATGTATGTACATCTCTCCTTCTAAATTACTTATTTACTTGCACTCTCGTAAGCAAGAAAAATTAATATGGAAAGTTACATTGTCTCTCAGCGTTCAATAAAATTATAACAAATAAAGAAGTAAAAAAAACTCAACAGAATTATCCGCAAGGTTCCAGTTCATGTATTCGGTTCCTTTTTTTTTCTTTAACTAGAGGTTAATAAAAATCAAATTTGTACCGCAACGAATGTGGGTCATTCCTTTCAAGAAAGCAATTATTGTAACTGTTATTATGTAAGTTTCGACGGCGATACGAGACGATTTATTTATGCAGAGGAGCTGTGCAAACATATCGTCCGCACGGCGAAGGTTGGCTCGATTTATGGCTGCGTTTCGAGACGAACAGAAAATGTAAAACAGTTTCGATTTTGGAGAACCGAACCCGGTATCGCGCAGCACGAGCAACGCGTACGCGGTGAATGTAAATTTTTCCGCGAACCGTCACGTGTCATCATTTTGATAGAAAAACAGAGCGAAGCTAGTGGATGGATCCCTTTCCCTCATGAAAGTTGATATCTCGATCAGAATTCCGCGCCAGCGAACGGAAGATATTAAAATTCTTTCAGGTTAGATTAACTTCGAACACTTTGGAAGCGAGACGTTTGTAAATTTCGCGAAGGAATTCAGTTTGAAAAGGACGAGATTTCCAAGCTCTGAACGTTGGTGTTATTTCTGTCAACCATCGTGATATTCCTTCTGCTATCGTGCCAATACAGACATGTCCGAAACTGTTACTTTTATATAAATAAAAATTTTAAATAATAAAAAATAAACAGCGTTCCGTTGTTCGTACGATGGAATTTGCAAACTGATTTAAAAAACGAAATCGAATTGGATTTTCAAGGGACGTATTTAAATATTAAATGAAATTCTGTTAAATTGTGACCGTTTTTTAATGCAATTTTCATCGTTATATTTCATCTACCGTGGACAATGTAACTTCCATTATTGTGAAATATTGAAGATGGAAAGTTTTAAAGCAATTTGTGTGGGAGATTACTTGTGCCGGAGAATGCAAACTGTACCATCTACTATTTTATTAATTTACATGTAATTATAGCGTCAATCAAACTTGGCGAAATATTCAAATGGAAAGATGAAAACAAACTGGTAAAGGTTTCTATGTTACACCGTATAGTTTATAGATCGTGATGATTGTGCATTTTTAGAATAATTAAAAAAGTATTACATAAAATTTCAAGTTTCCTCTATCTTTTGGGACCAAGAACTATGCAAATAAGAGGGAGCCATTTCAGCGAAATTCGCAAATAGATCGCATTAAAGAACGCATGTACACGATCGCGCAAGCTTCGCGCCACTAAAATGAGCAGAAATAAAGAAAAAGCAACACTTATCAATTTTTCTAGCAAATTAAAATCAGATCTCGTCGCGACGCGTGATTGAAGAGTGCTATTTTCAAATATTCTCCTCTTCCTTCGAGAATTTATTCTTCGTGGTCATTAAAAGGTCACGGGGTGAAACTTAATCTAATACTTGGACATTTTTTTAAAAGACGATTACGGTATTTACATCAAATATTTATCTGTTATCTAAGAATATGTACAGCGAGCTACATATCGATTAAATTGAATTCATAAAAATAGCAAAGCTCGTATAGGACTGTCCAATATTTCTCTTTACTTTTATACAAGGTTCTCGATTTTAATTGCGAAATTTTTATTTAAGTGAAATGATTCATCGCGTGGAATGTCTCAATAAGATCTACTCGACACACCCAAAAAGAAAATATCTTATCACGAAATTATTCACAAATGACAAATAAGAAACTTCTATAATCTGCATTAGTGATTATCTCGTCATACTTAAGTGTTTATTTTAATCTCTGTCTTTCGATCGTTGGAACCGATTTATAATTGGACAATAGAGTTCCCTCTGTACACGATCGGAACCTTTTTAACCACAAAACAAAGAAAAAGTGTACAATTTTGTAAATAAATATGTTTCAATATTTTACTTAAATATAATGAACAATTTCTGGCCAATCTACATGGTCAACCACAACATTCACAAATATTTAATAGATTTTGTAGCGTAATATACACATTTTTATCTAATAGACAAACAAAATTATTGCATTGCTTACAGGCCTTCGAAAAACATTTCCAAGAATTATGTTACTTTTGAGTTCAATGTATGCGAAGTAACCCCTTATCACGTTCACCGCTATATCATGCATATTATATATGGCAATAATGTTTCGGCAATTGTGGTGTCATGTTTAAAGACATGCTATTAAAATACGAATAACGTTACATAAAAAAAAAAGTATTGTAAATGTACTGTTAGAGTGCTCCAGAAAATACTCAGCATTTTATTATAATCACATTAGTTTCTGTTGCTTTTCAAGCGTATTCTTTAAAGAAATAAAATAAATATTCAATGTTTGTACAGTACGCCAAATAAATAAATATACCAAAAAATCTTCAAATTCAATGATATCCTCTTAAAAAAAATCTCCAACACCCTGTTAACTGAGGCCTTTCAATCACGCCCAACCCAAACTGCTCCAAAACACGAAATAAATAAGGGAAGCTGAATCCACAAAGCCATTAACACGTTAGCCGCCACGTCACCCATATACAGATGACAGAGCTTCTCGCTAAGGAACTTCAACGATTCATTTTAAAAGCTAAGTGTTGACGAAATCAAATTGGGATAGAATTCGTAAACTTTTATGAGAATACAAAAATAAGTAATACGACAAATGTTAGATTCTACAGTCTGTAATCGTTTCGAGACAAAATTTAAGGGCTGCAGACTGAATCGGTTCGGCAGCCAACGTGTTAAAAACTGGAGCTTCCGCGATGCGTAATATATTCTGGAACACCCTGTCGTCCTCCATCCGCCCCATCCCCTTGACAGAGGAACAACACGATTCTCAAGTAGATAATTACCTCATGTCTAGGTACTGATAGACGGACGTGATGCCGAGACTGTAGTAAACAGGCACGAAGACGAAGCACACGATGGGGTACGCGAGCAGCATGCCGTAGATGGTCTCCCACATGGCGCTGCCCCTGTAGTAGAGTTCGGATGGGTAGCCCAGGAAGGATCTGACTCCCAGCGTTCCTCTAGCGATGGAGAGCATCATGGCGCCCATGGATACGCTTCCTGTGGCGAACACATAGTCGGCCTTGGTGGTTTCCTTGCGACGACCCCGCAACTTTCCCCACAACGGTATGACGAAAGAGGCGATGATGCACGCGACGAATATCAGGTAGTCCACCACCATGGACGACGCGGTGATCGTCATCCTGGACTCTCCTGCTGGATCGCCTCTGCCTTATTCCTCGAGTCCTTCGTGGTACCGAGAAAACGGAGGGTGTCGATGTTAACCGCTGCCGTCCAGCTCGGGTTTAACGACTTCGTGTTTGAATCTACCGCGTGACAACTCGAACGACTTGGCTCCCGTCCGGCGGGGAATCGACTCGACTATTCTCGACGGCTTGAAATTTCGCAGAGTGTTCGACGGTTTCACGCGAATCGGCGTTAAGAGGCGCGCGGATTGGTTTGTGTACGAGCGTCGTGCGAGATTGCACGTTTTGTTTGCGTTCGTGTGCGCGCCCGTGTGCGTGTACGTGCGTTATAGGAGACCGGTTACGCAATTTTGCGCGTCCCTCTCGATACGATCGATGCGACGGCACGAGTACTGACTAACGCCGACCGTTAACCACGTCACGTTATTATGCTCAAGACTCGAAGCGAGACGGAGATATCGTCGGCTGGAGCGAGACGAGGACGGACACGCTGACTATCATGACGGAATGAAAGTGGAGGGGCGCGTCAGGGGTGAGAGTGGTAGGGGACGAGCTTTTTCATATCGCGTCTATCGCGATATTGTTTATCAGCGCTTTGTCGCGGCGGTTCGTGTGAACGTTCGCCGGGGGCATTTGCATGTCGTCAGCCTCCCCTGGATCTGGCGAGGATCGTTAGTCGGTCCCGTGGACGTGGACTGAGCGGTTCGGATCCAGGGACTTGGGGGTCACGGAGAATTGTTCTGATGCTTTAGTATTCCATGCCGAGTGAACCGAAATGAAATTGAATATTCCGAAAATGCAAAATAGCTCGATGTAGTTGACGATGATTTATTAACGGTATGGTACAAGGTATTTTTTTTTTTTTCTACAATTTTGATCACGATTTATCTCGCAGAATTTTTTAATTCTTAAAAGGAAAATAAAAACTCAAACATTCACAGCATTCGAGTATCTGTGACGTGTATGTAGTCGAGTACTCAACGAAAATCTGAATAATAAGATTTTACTTGTTTCACAATCACGCGTAACCTTTTTCTTGTCTACCATAAACATGAGTTTCCAGACTGCTTCGAATTTTCCAAACCGCGCTGAAAATATGACGGAGCATCGGATACGCAGAAAATTGAATTTTCATGCTTCCCGAAGGAAAATTCCTGTCCCCGTCGTTGACTTTTGTTACGGTTCATTGCGAACGAATTGCAGTTCACTGTTAAAGAGACCAGACAAAGCCAGCGCAATAAACCTTCGGAGATTATTCCCAATTCACCTCGAATTTGGATTTAAACAACGGACTTAAGGCCACGGGCCAACTCTATTGTTTCGTCCCGGCTCATTTCCGAAATGCGTCGAGGCGAACAATTACCGTCAGGGAGTGGCAGAGCGGGGTGATCGAAAATTTTCCACTCGACCGTTACCGTTTTCGACGATCCACCTCTATTAGAGCTATTTGTGTAATTTAATTTCTGAATATTTTACGATTATTACGAACGATGTTCGAGTTGTTCGATATTTAAATATTATTGCTTGAATATTGTTATATCATATAGTCGAGTATTCGAGTAGAAGTCAAACGGCTAAATATTTTAATAATGTTCGAATAGACTTTTCCAATGATATGTAGGTAGCATTGAAACAGTAAAATCTTCCAGTAGTAATTAAATAATTAGATATGCCAATAATATTTTAACAATGTATGAATAGTCAAGTGTTGCAACAGTATTTGAATAGCATTCAAATAATCCAGTATTCGATGTATATTCGAGTGATATTTGAACGGTATTCAAATAATATTTGATTAGTACTTGAATAATCAAGTATTCCAACAATGTACGAGTAATATTCATCGAATATTTGAAATCGCTGTAACAAACGAATATTCAAAAATTCTTTAAGCATTCCCAACTCATGCGTGACGTATTCTCGAGCTCGACTCTTCTCGTTTCCGACGTTACAATGCGAAATCAATCGCGGCTATTTACCTTGCTGCGTTTAACCCATTTCACTCGGCCGATTGACCCAGCGAGTGTTTTCAACGTGCTACCCTGTCGAACCGTGGGTATTCCATACGTGGATCATAGAATTCTCGATGCAGTATTCCCTCGAGTACGTGCGATACGAATCGATAATCGAGAGTTCTGTTATTTCCTTTCAAGAAAAAGTATTTTTCAGTTCAATGTTTTGATAGGTAGTAGAATTATTTAAATTCAACTCTATTATTCTAAAATTATATTTTCAACAGTTGAAACTCGAAGAAGAGCGGACAATAAGTCGATGTTACTTCAATCATTAATCGAGAGTTTTGTTATTTCTTTTCAAGAAAATGTATTGTTCGCTTCGAAGTCTTGATATATAGTAAACATTTTTAAATTCGATTCTATTACTTTAAAATTATAATTTCAACAGTTGAAATTCCGAGAAGAGTGCAAGATAAGCCGTAGTTGCGTCACCTCAAAACTAGACATGCTCCTTAAATCTCCGAAGAGAACTTGTTCCCTGAATTTCGATAAGCGAGAAACAGCTGTCTGGACTTGTGCGCGAAACTTCGCGCTGTTAGAGACAAGTCGAGGATACGGTTATCGGAGGAGCTCAATTTTTCGAGAGTTGAGGATGCTTGTGCATCTCGATTCAACTGTTTAATGTCTTAACGAGACAAGCTGAATCCTTCCAGATAAAGAAACTTGGTTACCGCGAGTGCGTGTTATTTTTTTTTTCTGGTTCAGTTGTTCGTGCTGGTCTTTAAACTTTTGCATATTCACTCAACGATAGAACCTCGGGTACCTCCATTGATTTCGACGACAGAAGGGAATGCATGAGGAGGAAATTCTTTTCGAAGAAACGATTATTGAGGCAATAAAAATGTCTGAAAATCATTAAATTCCAAATAAAAACAAATAAGATATATATATATATCGAATATTTGAAAATTTTTAATGAATAAGTATAAATAATAAATATATTTAAAAGAAACAAACACTTTTATAAATTACTGCAGTGTTAAAAATAGTACGTCAAATAATTTCTCATCTTTCCAAAATAATAGAGACGTTACTGGCTCGATTATTGTGCAACTTAACAATATCTAAATGCTCGAATATGTAACAATATGTTAATTTCAGTCGATGCGTTGCATAGAAAACACAAACCAATAGCGATTAATAACGCCGCATAAGGAAATCATCCATAAGTCCTAACCATCAATTTTAAGTATCGGATGGGATGCATAAAGTTGGCATGTTGAATAATTATCAGAATTTTAATCATAGACTACAATCTCAATAATCGGTCGATTTCAGGGTGAATTATTGCGCGAAAATCTACCATATATATCCATTACACGTTAAGTTAATTTTTCCTGGAAATAGAAGATACCTACAAAACCGCGTGAAAATCGAATGAATGCAAATACGTATAAATATTTATTCCGTCGATTGGCTTGTAAGTAAAATCATAAAACATAGTATGTTAAAAGAAATTAAAAGAAACCACCAAAAGAAAGTAATTATGAAATCAAAAAGGACTGATTAAAACAGAAAGAGAATACGAGAAGAGATAAGGTGAAAGAGAAACGTGAGAAAAACCACATTTTCGTTAAACATTCGCAATTCGTCCTCCACCCCCTGCGGTGCAGATACGAAGATCGCGAAGACGTGACAAATTATGCAAATAACGATACCATAACTGGATTCATCTGCTCCAGTTCAGCTGATACATCGGTCTCATAAACAACCCAGCGAATATCTCCCAGTGGCATGTGACACACGAGCCACTTGTTTTCTGCGTGCCTATCGAAACTCGTTTAGTATGGTAATTAATTCTCGAGCCTCCATCGCTCGATGAAATCATCGGAGAAAGACGATCGAACCGCGAACGATTAAGAGAAAAAACTGAGGAACACTTTCTCCGAACAAAGGAGAAAAATGAATATGTCCTTCGATACAGAATCACTGCAATTTTTCTACAAAAGCTCCCATGTTATATTCATGCGAAATTTAATAGTCATACTAATTTCAGTTGGAATTTGAATCTTTCACGTGGTATTGAAGACGTCATATATTTATAGATGGTGAAGCAATTTCTGTCTGAGGATGACTGTTTAGGTTGAAAATACTCATTCTACTATATGTATGATATAAATAAACGTTAAGAAGTTAAGAAGATGCCATTTCTTTATATGATGAAACAATTTCTATGCCATACATGAGTATCACTGTTCGGGGCTGAAATATTTATTTATAAATTGTTTCTGTGACGTCAATGAATATTAGAAATGTATTAAAAAAGTGCTCCTTATGCGTCTATTAAAAATTGACCTTCATTGTTTTCTATTTTCAACCCCTTTCTATAAACATATAAAATTCTTTTTTAAATAAAAATTATATTTGAACCAGTAATGGATTCTCCATAAATGAATTTGGAAAGATTGTTTCTACAGTGTTAGTTCGATCCTGAAACTTCGATCCAAGTCAATGGGTGTCTTTCCTGGCTTTAATCGTCTCAGCTCGAACTCACAAGTTAGCTGTTCATGGGCGCGTTAACGTGAAATCACAAGGAAGGGAACGAGCCACTTGTGCCGGCCAGACGCAGACACGACGAAACGCATGGCGCCACGCTCGACTCTGGTCTGTCCGCACAGGTATCAAGGTCTGATTCTACAGCCGAGCGACCAGGCGCCTGCCTTCTACTTAGACGCGTGACTGACACGCGGCGCTACACGTGGAAATTTCTCTGAAAAACACTAATCTATCGGCGCCAGAATTCTCCTACCCTATTGCATTCTAAATCACTTAATTTCCCTAATTTAAATAACTCTTGAAGCAATTATTGCGTATTACACATTTTCACGGAGTTCTAGGTAAGAAGCATCGCTGTCTTACTTTCTCGCAAAGTGATTAATACCTTCTCAGATTTTTTTTTTTTTATGGAATCCGTAATCCTTGTACGAGAATGAAGAAAATTTGAAAAATATGGGTAGTTGGAAGTATAGGAAAAAACAGAGACGCCAAGAAAATATACATGAATGTCTCATGAAATTTTCTGAAA